ACTGTTCTTTTCCATAAAAGAAAAAAAGATCCAGGTTGCTTGTTGAATAGAAACAAAAACTAATAAGACTTTGAACTATCTAATGTCTAGATAGATGATCTAAAAATGGTGTTACAATGCAAGAGAGAATAGAGATGAACTGCACAATTAATGGCTTCTAAGGTATAACACGTGACTGAAATGCCCTAAGGAAAGGAAGAAATGAAGTAAATTGAACTGCAAGCTCTAAGTTCTTTTCCCTGAGATAAAAAAGCTTCAAAAACAGCAACATGTTGGAAAACTGGGTAAGAACAACAGGGTGAGCCCAGGGGCCCCGCTACTACTCACAGAATATTCAACTTCACTGCGAGCCATTCCTAAAGGCCCTTATCCGCAGACCAGAGAGAGATGAAAATGGCTGATCCAGCAAGTGAGAAGCAGAATAAAGGAACATTCTGGCTCAAACACACAATCAAATTATGTGGCAAAAATCCTACTAGTAAAGGTCAAAGTTAGAAACAAACATTTCTTTTAGTTGGCAAATTCTCATAGTTTCACTTCACAAACAAGTAAAAGACACTGGGGAATAACTGGACTTAGCATTTACACTCAAATTTGTTATGAGTGGGATTAACTTTGCAAGAAAAAAAATATGATAGCAGCAATATAAACAGTTTCTAAATCTTAAAAGCACAATTCAGAACGTCACTATTTAAACTGTTACAGGAGAACACATATAGCAATTCATCACTAACACAGCGAGTAAATTGGCCAGAGCTGACTTATGGGATTGGGCTAATAAGAAATAAAATAGATTTATTCTCCAGGAATCTTAAAATCCCTGTGTTGTTGAATCACGGAAACCCTGCTTTAATATAGCAAGGCTCTACAAGTCACTACCTTTCAAGGTAAAACAATTAATGCATGTCAAAATATTGCACCTGAACCTTCTAAAAGAATACAAATTCAAAAATCCACCTCTTAAGTATTAATAACAGTAATGTTAAAGACAGGGCTGCCGGATGAAGTTGAAGGATCTTCCCCCTGCCAACAGAAGGAGCAACAAAAATTCAGCTGGCATGAAAACAAGAAAATGGTTGACAGCCCATCCCAACAAAACCGAAGGATGAAGAGGGATGCAGCGCTGCAGCTAAAGCCTCCCCAACTGTCGTCTGGCAGAAGACGACAAAGCAGCAGAACCCCAGGCTGGATTGTACCAGAAGAGAGACCAAGTCATAATTTGCCTCGTCATCAAGCTAACAACTGCAGGGTGGAAACAGCTGGCACACCATTACCAGAATGTCTGTCCAGAAAGTCTCTAATTGTTGCTTCAATATTATAGAGACAAGCAGAAACATTTCGTAAGTGTACCAGGGAGAAGCCCAGACTCCCTCCCAACCTTTTTTCCCCAGGCTGTGAAGCCTCATACAGCTGGCAAATTCAAGAAGCAAGAAACACATGGATTTGAGAAAGGCAGCTTTAATGCTGGCCAGGGGTAAAAACATCTGAAATACTAAAACTCTCATTGTGTTTATCTGTACCCTCAAGTTAGCCCAAACGGTGCATTATACCGTAGCAATTTTTGAATCAAGGTACCTCAAATCTGCTAACTTAAAGAATGTGTAAAAAATCCAGAACTCATTACTTCTGCAGAACAGGAATTTCCACGATGTTCAGACCAGTGTTATTTGCAATGTTGTGGTTGTTGCAGCATCCCCATGGTCACGTGATTGTGGTTTCCAACACTCCCTGCCAGGTTCCCAAGAGCAAAGTCAATGGGGAAGCTGGCAGGAAGTTGGAAGTCGCTCCTGCTCCCACTGCTTTTTTGCCTGCCTGTGGTCATTCTGTTTATCTGTTTAGGTAAGTAAATATTGATGTATTACTGAAGTTCATTTGTCACTACAATTATTTTTCTATTTATGATATATAGATATAGATATGATCACAGGACCATCCTGCATTGGAGTAAAAAAAATACGGTCAGGCTAAAATTTAATGTTAAATTCTGGTCACATCAGACTGCACTACCTTTCTCTCAAAGGATGACCCATCAGGTCACAGGGCTATCTAGTTAATCCTGAAAACCACAAGACTAAATTCCCAGGCAGATTTAGAGTGAGCTTATTAAAGCAGAATCTCTGAAATGTTTCCTTCCCACAGGCTCCACATCTGAACCCATGCTGTCTCTCCTCACATCAACTGAATTCTTCCTCTCCCACCTGCCTCTCACAGTCTCGTACACTGGCAAAGACTCGGGTCCCTCCTCTGACTCCTTAAGTGTCTCAAAGCACACTCCAAGTTCTTCATTAAGGGTAAGAAGAGGACAGTGAAAGGGGTATACACAGACTTTGTTGTTCTGCTTCTTCTAGAGAAGCACTGACGCAGAGGCCTGTCATCTCCGCCACAATGGTTTTTCCGTAACCACAAATGTATTTAAAGCATCAGGTCAGAAATTCCAGACTGAACAGAAACAGTAAAGTCTTGAAGTTCCATTTATGCTGAGTGAAATCTTGACCCTAAATTCTAAAGAAATGAATGGAGATCCCCTTAAGCAGCCTGTTGATTTATTTCAAAAAAAGCATCAAGGCTTAAGGATGGACCACTTTGGAAACCAAAAACAGATTGGCCCGGCAATTCAAGGTTCCAAAACATTTAAGGGAGAAATGGGGACATCCATCTCCCTTGGCCATGTTAGCTGAAACAGATGTTCAGCAACATATTTAAGACCAAAAGTTACCACAATTTTGCTATCTGCAGCTCTCCCTTCAATGTAACACCTACAAAACCAGATGGAAGGGGATAACTTCATTTTTTAAAAGGAAATTATCTTTCTTCCCTCCCCAACAGACCCCGAACACAGAAAAGCCTTCTTAAAAGCCACCTCCCCTTAATCAAGAGGGTCTTAAGGGAGACTTTAATAATAAGAGGGATAAGATTTTAGACAGATCTAGCTCAGCTATTTCATACTTGGACCTGTTTCTTTAAAGATGCAACCGGATAAGTATATGGAGAGCTAGAGACCAAGAAACCTAGAGAATATATTAATATAACTTATATTACGTGCTGCCTATTTATCATTTTAGCTGAGTCCTCTGAAATCCAAAAATATGGAAAAATAAGCAACAGTAATTCACTGGATTAGCAACAATGGAAATTAGAAATATTTGGTGTACCTGACTATCCTGTTTGAGTTGAAAATCCAAGTACATTGGAAGTGGCCAAAATACTGAGGAGGAAAGATAACTGTCACATAAAATTCTAACTTATGTCAGGAAAACCAAAGTATTCAATGCAAAACAGGAAAAAAATGAGAAAGCATATTTTCCATTCTATTCTTTTTGCAAATGAATACTTATGATATAAATAAATAATGAGGTCAAAGAATGTTTTTTACATAAATATGCAGAGAACAAATCATATGATTAGAAAAGGAATGTATTTTCTACACAATAAAAGGAAAAGATTGATACCTGCGGAGAAAAAACAAAAACTCCAGGGCTAGATTATATATATAAAAAAATTAACGTAGGAAGGAGATCTGTTTTGTCTGCCAAGGAATGTACAGGGAAATTCACAAAGGGGCATTTTACCTGTGAGAGATGTCTTTCTCTCCCTCTGTTCATTAATGCTCACAGGATTGCCAAGAGGACAAGTGATGACATGCACATCATGACGTCATTGTGCAAAAGACATGATGTCAACTGTGTCATTATATCATATGACTGATATGAAATACCTAAACTGATTTAATGATGATGTCATCATGGTTTTTACCAGATGCCAAGCCTCTACCTTTTCCACTTTGCTGACTGAATGCTTTGCAGAGATTTTAAAACAAGACCTGCCCTAGTTTCTCACATTGGGCTAAGCCAATGCAGCTTGTGTATCTCTGCTTCAGCATGTTGTACAACACCAGTCACTGTGATTTGGAAACCACAGCTCAGAATGTAAGCATATTGTGCACATCCCACAATTGTGGTTTATTCAATAAACTGTGATTCAACAAAGACTGGCTACTGAAATATGCAAATCCCATTATACAACCACTGCATTGCAATCTGCAACAAGTGATTTTGAAATACAACACTAGGAATATTCCAGGGTTCCAACTTCAGGGATAAACTTTTGTCCTAATCAGGCCTTATGCAGATGCTCAGTGAGGGCAGATATTCAAACCAGATTTAAAGCAGAAATGGGATCCCAATGCTGATATATTTGTTACATATTGCTACTCCATTTGTGCCATCTTCACATCTCAGAGAAGTCTTTTTTAACACAGTAGCAAGCAGGGCTGTGGAGTCGGAAGCAATTCTTGGGTTACTCGAGTCGGTAAAAATGTTCCAACTCCTAATAGATTTAAATTGTATATAATATAAATAATATAATATGTTAAAATTTCTTATCTCATAGATAATAACTTGATTAACCTATTTTTTTCAGGATATATTTTAATTTTAATGCCTTGTATGTTGCATGCTTGCAGTCTATATAGGAAATATATAATTAGTATATTTATAATTTATTTCCTATATCAATATATAATTAAAGGAGTCAGAGTCGAAGGTTTTATGCGCCAACTCCACAGCCCTGGTAGCAAGACACCATTTTATTCCAGTTCAGAAGTATAAAACAACATTCTGAGTACTGGCACAGCAAACATGGACCTAGAGCAAGGGAGCAGTTCAGGGCAGCCCATAGTGGCTAACATCCCTTCTGGGTTCCTTGTTAGAGTTTTTGAGCTGAAGGTTTAAGAGGTGAAATAAATGCCCTCAACTCTGCAGAGGGCCAAGGCATTCCACCCACTGCATCATAATTGGGGGTGACTTCAGCAAGCGAATATTTTTGGCATATTGCACAGAATGTATCTCAGTAAAATTGTACGTGTTATACATCATTGGGGTGGAATTAAGAAAGCCAGGTCTATCACAGGGAGAGAGAGAATGTAATAGAAGTGTTACTCCAAGTATTGCATTTAATTAGGCAAAGTGAAACTAGGCACATTGAAACCATTTAAGACTTACTTGTCAAGGAAATCCTTGTCCACAACAGCACAGATGTCAAGGAGAGGATTCCCCATTCCAAAAAGGACATTTTCACTGCAAGATAAAGTTGTTCAAGTCACTTGATTTTACAAACTGCAGTGTACTTACAAATATAAGCAGCAAGCCATTCTGAGACTGCAAATCCCTTCTCTCCCCCACGAACACAGTATAATTAATGACCTAAGCCACTACACCAAACAGAGACCAATCAATACCTTTCACAGATTTGTTTTTAAGCCTTTTTTTGTGTTTGTGTAAAAAGTACACGCAGTGCAGAGTTCACAGCAGCTAAGTGGCTTTTGAAATCCTCAAACATTATTTTATCAAGAAGTACACTTGAAAAGTCATGATGATAGCTCAAGTAGCTTTATCTGTAATCCAGATTTTCTAAACCAAAGGAAGGGAACATGTTTGTGGGCACCATATTTCCTTCTGTAGACACTTGAGGATCATTTAAACTCATTCAGCTTGCTGGAAAGCAAACATCTGATCAATGTTTTGTTGATCAATTCCTGTAAGCTGGTTCTTCTGGCCTTGAGATATGCTGAGTAGATACATATCAGCATAGCGATAGCTACCAAAAACTATGAGTTTCTAAAAGGAGCCATGGGTAGAGCACATGCTTTCCACACAAACATTTCCAGGTTCAATCTCTAGTATTTATTTGGTAGAAGCAGAGGTGATTGTTCTCATTAGAAAGACTGCACAGTCTTTGCCTAGACTGACCAGGGGTTTCCATCACAATAAAGCAGATGCATCAAATTTTTATGCTGGCCTTTCTGGACAAAATGTGTTTTATAATTCATCTACCTTAGAAACTAATACTAACTGAAAATAAGAGCTGTAGAATGTGGGAAAAAAGCAAACTTTATTAATGGCTTATTTTGGCACTAGCTGATAAAAGATCACAATCTTTTTTCAGATGGAGTCCAAAACACTTCACTCCCCCAAATGTCTCTTACTCCAACTGAGTCAACATTTTAAGAAGCTGCACTGGCCCCGTTTAGACACCAGTGCCTGTGTTTTACCAGCCAAACGAGGGCCTGCATCATTTCTTAATTCAAGATTAAAAATCCTTTTTCTTTTCTTTTAAAAAAGGGAGGCACGGGCTCATTTGCTGATTACGAACAAGTCTGGCTCATCTTGCTACATGCAAACATGGTCACAGAGATTATCAGTGTTAACAGAAATGCATCACAATAAATGACTGCAGGTGTAAATCTTTAAATAAGCGATGCTTCCATGTTGCAAGCTCCATGTCATAAGCTAGTCCAAAGTTTATAAAATAATGTTTACATGGCATAGTGTCTCCTTTAAGTTAAGCTCACCTCCTGGCATACCATCCAGGTCTGAACCTGCTAAGGTTTCTCAAGATCAGGTTTCCAGAGAAGGCCTTTCTAGAGATTTCAAGAGCCTCATGTAGGCTGAGCTGCAATGCAACCCCGTCATTTTCCATGACACTGGCAAATACATAGCCTGAGTGCATTTGCGAACATTAAGCCACAAGATTTTTCCGCAGTAATTTCAAAGGTTTTTACTCTAGCCTTGACTAGTGCCAGAATTCAAGCTTACAATCAGCTTTTTCAGTTCTCAAAAAGTTGGGACACCTCATTATTACCAAATAAATTAAAGTCTTCTGTGTAGACAGGCGTATTCAACTGGTACATTTCAACTTTATGTAAATAGGGTATGTTCTCTGCTCAGAGTTGGTTTTGACTGCAGGGGTATATAAGCCCTGTAGATAAATAAACTTGGAAAACAGGAAAATCAATGCTCAGCCCATGAAACCTAAATAAATGTAGTTTATGCTTAGAGATACCAGATCCAATTGCTGTAAAGTCTGAAGAATTCCACCTAAACAGCTTTGAACTTACTGGGCCTATGGGTAAACAAAAGGCTACTCTGTCTGATATCTGAAGTATCTGTATTTCAGAACTATGTTGGAAGTCTTACTTACAAACATTTGCAGTTGTAGTACAACATTAAATGCAGAAAATATTTTGAGACATCCAATATCATGGCAGTCACAGCAAAACCCCATTTGATTAAAAGAAAGGGAACATCCAACAGCAATTTCTACAACTCTGTGTCCACTCAGGCTGTATCAAACTTCAGATATGAGAAGAAAGAGGTGGCTGAATGAGTTACAGACAGACACTGTAATGGCGCATCTCTTCTGTAGCCCATATCCAAAACAACTCTTCCCAGTTGAATCTGAAGCATTGCACAGATTCCAAAGAATCCATGAATCTCAAACTTCCAAGTTAAAGGGATTTGTTTACAAACCACAACGGCTTGGCTCTCTTAACCCAGCAGATTATGGATTAATGCAGTATGTGAACCCAACCACTCCGTGCTGAGGAGTGCCAGACCCGATGGCTCTTGATGACCAACCATCAGAAAGAGCTCCTCCTTTCATATCATCCTGCCAGCACATTACACTCACCAGAGGAGGCCCCTGTCTATGCTCTCTGTTGCAATTCCAAAGAGAGGGCTTTACCTGCAGTGATAACCTGGCATTGTCTTTTCCAAAGGAAACAGGGCTTAACCAACCCTGTACTCTGCTTGTGATCCGCACAGGGTTCTAAAAATCAACTCTATTAGTTGCTGGGATAGTCACTCCTTCCTGTCTCATGGTGCTGATTTATTAACTTATGGGCAACTAGAGCCTCTCCAGGATGCTTCTGTTCCACAGGCTGAGTGCAGCTGAGTTAGGGTCAGAAAAAGGCACAGGACCGGAGGAACTTCTGGAAAGGGATTAGACATAACAGCTCAACCAAGCCAGCAACTTTATAGCTTTAGTATATTATGTGAATCCTAGTCATTGTGTGAGCCCTGCCAACCAGGCTTACTCAATAAACTACAGTTAAACAACTCTTGGTTAAGCGAAATGTGTGATCCAGATCCAGCAGGGCTGTTCTTAGATCCGGACTGCTTTTTTCCTTTAAGCGGGCTCTGGAAAAACACCTTAATCGACAGCCAAAACGCAAGCACTTGTTTGCAAACAGCTTGCCTACTATCGCTGCAGTGCACCGCTTCCCAAAATGTTTTGGGTGGGTAGAAACTCAGATTGCAACCAGAGAGAAAAAGTAAATCAGATTCCACGCTAACCGACGGTACGTCCCAGGCACTTCGAGCGGATTCTCTATCGTGCACTTAACTAAACATACGATTTTGTATCAACAGCAAGCGCTAGTATTTTGGATACAAATCACAGGGAACAGCAGGCAACAGTAAACTTGCTCAGGCTGTAGCCGATGCGATTACGGAAAGCCGCTTCCACCGATTCAGCAGCGCGCCCGTGCCACGAGCCTATTACGCCCAGCCTCAGACACAAAAATCGCTTTGCCCAAGCAAGCCGCACAAACAGCCAGGAAGGGGAACACAGGGGGCGACGATTTCCACGCTTGTTTGCAGGAGATGCGGAGGCAGGACCCCCCGGCCGCGCGGGAGCCCACCCTGCGTAAGACTGAGCAACGTTCCCGGGGAGGGACGGAGGGAGGGAAGGGGAGCCCCCGCAAGTCCAGCCAACTTACTTCTTAGTGAGACCC